ATCGGTTAAGGTGGTTTGGACATGTGCAAAGAAGGCCTACTGACGCTCCGATTAAAAGATGCGACTATGGGACAGAGGTTCAGGGCCGAATGGGTAGAGGAAGACCTAGGAAAACTTTGAGAGAGACCCTAAGAAAAGACTTAGAGTACTTGGCTCTAACGGAGGACATGACACAGGACAGAACACAATGGCGTTCTAAGATTCATATAGCCGATCCCACTCAGTGACTTGGATTTTCCAAGTCTCCAACCGAGAAGTTGTCCTCGCTCGGGAAATTAAGGGAACACTACCTCAACCTATATGCTCCACTCACAAAGCTTCAACATACAAGCTTCAACAAAAGAAAATTCAAAGAACTTAGCGAAGAAGGCTTTGGTGATTTAACACAATACGTTGAAATGAAGGAAAGTTTATTTATTGATATCCCCGATAAGTTACAAATATGTACATATACTTGAGTCAAAATAAACAAACAAGAGGGAGCCTTCACAAAGGTTGCTTAGGAGAAGTCTCAGCAGTCGGTAGAGCCCCAGAAAGAGAAGGCACCGGAGGGGGATCATTCGGAGCCTCAGTACTGGACAGAACCCTAGAAGGAGGAGGCATCAGAGGTTGATCATTTAGAGCTTCATTACGCGGTACAACCCCAGAAGACGAAGGCAATAAATGCCTTTAGAACAAACCCACAAATCTCTGATGATCACGTAAAACCTGACCATCAGATTCCTTCATCTGGTCAAGCTTCCTCTTCATGGTAGCCCTGCAAGTTATCTGTGCGAGCCTGCAACTGTTTACTCATGAACTTCAACCCTAATTAGGCGTTGGGCCATATTCAAGAACAGAACCTGCACACACACGAGAAGAGCCAATTAACACAGCCAAACATCTGAAAAAAGCAGTCTGTTATCTTGGGAAGGGAGAAGGTTCCTGGCCACTACCGCAGGCGGTCATATCATTCATTCATCATTTCACGGAAGCCCCAGAACGGTAAGAGGACCAGTAGGGGAGACGAATGATGGGCGCCATATGTTGTCTGGAGAAGGCGGGGCTGCCTCTTCAACAAGGTTCAAGTCAAAACGACGGTCGGAGGGGCCAGACACATTTTCAAAGGTGTTGAAGAGAGAAGAGGTCGGACAAATCAAGATCTTAGAAGTGCAAGAATGGAGCTTCTACTGGTGGATATTCAAGTGTGCTTTGGAACTTAATGTCAGCCCCTATAAAAATCTGCACTCGACGAAGCTTCAGAAATCGAAGAGGCGCCTGCTCAGAGAAATCGAAGAGGCGTTTGCTTTCTCAAAAGCTGGGGCTGCTCAGAGACCACGAGGGTCGATCTCAGAAATCGAAGAGGCGTTTGCTTTCTCAAAAGATGGGCTGCTCAAAGACCACGAAGGCCGATCTCAGAAATCGAAGAGGTTTGCTTTCTCAAAAGAGCTGGGCTGCTCAGAGACCAAAACCACGAAGGGCCGATCTCAGAAATCGAAGAGGTTTTTCTCAAAAGCTGGGCTGCTCAGAGACCACGAGGAGGGCCGATCTCAGAAATCGAAGAGGCACCTACTTTTCCAGCCTTGTCAGCACCTGTCACACGCACACTCAGCTTTGCGGAAATTATGGGCATTCTGTCGAAGATTTCTGGCGAAGTAGAAAGCACATGAATCGTACTGTTCAATCACCCACTTCCCACACGCAACAGTAGCTCATGGGTACCACATATAACTTTGCCAATGTTCTCTGACTAAGTTGAGACTACTTTTCCAGCCTTGTCAGCACCTGTCACACGTACACTCAGCTTTGCGGAAATTATGGGCATTCTGTCGAAGATTTCTGGCGAAGTAGAAAGCACATGAATCGTACTGTTCAATCACCCACTTCCTACACGCAACAGTAGCTCATGGGTACCACATATAACTTTGTCAAAGTTCTCTGACAAAGTTGAGACACGTGAAGCTTGCAGCTCTCACTACATCGCTCTGACCAAGAAGGGTAAAAGAATAGCAAAGAAACAACACTAACAAAGTTTAGACACATAAATTTTGAAGGTCTAGCTACCATATTATTACCCACAAGGGTAAAGGAACAGTACCACTGCTGCATAATTGGAAAGTCCTGGTGTGTCAACCTCTGTGCTTCGTGGCAAGGTAGACTAGCAAACATGCCCAACCTTTACTCACATTCGAGAAAACACTCCCAACAAGATTGCTTGCACCAAAATCGAAGAGGCATCGCCCTCCGAATCTCGAGAACCAGACTCCCAACATGATTACTTTCTCAAAAATCGAAGAGAGGGTAAATGAACAGTACCACTGCTGGATAATTGGAAAGTCCCTGTGTGTCAACCTCTGTGCTTCGTGGCAAGGTAGACTAGCAAACATGCCCAACCTTTACTCACATTCGAGAAAACACCCCCAACAAGATTGCTTGCTCCAAAATCGAAGAGGCACCGCCCTCCGAATCTCGAGAGCCAGACTCCTAACATGATTACTTTCTCAAAAATCGAAGAGAGGGTAAAGGAACAGTACCACTGCTGGATAATTGGAAAGTCCCTGTGTGTCAACCTCTGTGCTTCGTGGCAAGGTAGACTACCAAACATGCCCAACCTTTACTCACATTCGAGAAAACACTCCCAACAAGATTGCTTGCTCCAAAATCGAAGAGGCACCGCCCTCCGAATCTCGAGAGCCAGACTCCCAACATGATTACTTTCTCAAAAATCGAAGACACCGCTATCCGAATCTCGAGAGTCAAACCCCCAGCAGGATTGCTTTCTCAAAAATCGAAGAGGCATTGTTTTCCGAATCTCGAGAGCCAGATCCCCGACAGGATTGCTTGTTCGAAAACCGAAGAGGCACCACTTTCCCAACTTCAAGAGCCGGATCTCCTTGGATAAAGCTTATATGTAATCTTCACACGCAACATCAGCTTTCCAGATACCACAGACCACTTTTTCAAAGTGCTCTGACAGAGTTAAAACTTGTGAAGCTGGCAGCTCCCACTACCGTGCTATGACCAAGCAGGGTAAAGGAATAGCATTATTACTTGATGTTAGGGAGACTCCTATATATGTCGACCTCCATCCCCAACGGACAGGCAGACCTGCAAAAATGCTCAACCCTTCCTCTTATCTGAGAGGGCACTCCCAACGAAGCCTTTCGAAATATTCAGCTTTCTTTCCCCCCGATAATACCTCTGTAAACAAGTTATACTAGAGCAAGAATATCTCATATCATCAGGGTTAAAAGCAAGAGTATCCCATATCATGCTTTTTCCCTGTCTTTTCCTTTGGCCTTGTTCTTACCTGCAAGACAAGGAGAAAGAGAGCAATCAGTCAGCATTTGGAATAAAGCTTCCAGCCAGGAACTGACTGCCTGGAACCCCTTACCTGATTACTTACCTGGCATTGCTCTCGAGTACTCATCTTCAACATCTTATGCTTCCAGGGAAGATACCGCATCTGCCTGAGGAACAGATAGGGCAAGTGAGAAGGATACAAGGAAGCATGTGGAGACAAGCGTAACAGCACACGTGCCGATACATCCACTACTCTGTCAAAAGCAAAAGTATCCCATATCAGCAGGGTCGAACGTACTCTAGATTTGATGGACTTGTTTTGACCCTCAAATTCTTCAGTCGGCCTTATACTCTGGAGGAAACCAGAAAACCCTCCAGCCCAGTTCAAGAATAAGCATGTGGAAAGTTACTTCTTCAAAAGCAAAAGTATCACATATCATCTATTCTCATTTTTCTTCTCTTTATCCTTCATGCTGCCTACAAGATAGGGAGAATGTGAACAATCAGTTGGAGCTCTGATTGCTTACCTTGTCTGTTACCTCTTTCAGCAGATCCCCTTGCTCGGCGACTTGGGGGACTCCTACTACATGGTTTGTATCGCGCTTGACCAAGCCTGAAACTACAAGTAAGCTTCAAGTGACATTGATACATTACCTTGTGCATCTCCACCAGTTACAGATACCACCCCTGGATGGAGGAAGAGTACTTCCAGAGAAGATGCCACATCTACCTATGAGACAGATAAGGAAAGTCAAGACGATACCACACTCCGGTACTTAGAAGTTTCGTGGTTACGAGATCATTCTCCCACAATATTTCCTAATGTTATTTGTACTAAATCATTCACTTGTACTCCCTAAAGGAGAGCTTGAACCTATGTACTTGTGTAAACCCTTCACAATTAATGAGAACTCCTCTATTCCGTGGACGTAGCCAATCTGGGTGAACCACGTACATCTTGTGTTTGCTTTCCTATCTCTATCCATTTATATACTTATCCACACTAATGACCGGAGCAATCTAGCGAAGATCACAAAAAGTGACCGTTTTCGCTACCTAGGATCTATCTTGCAAGAGAACGGAGAATTAGATGGAGATCTCAACCATAGAATGCTGGATGGATGAAGTGTAAGAGTGTATCCGGCGTGTTGGGTGACCGTCGTAGGCCACTGAAGCTCAAGGGAAAATTTTATAGAACGGCAATAAGGCCAGCGATGTTGTATGGCACAGAATGTTGGGCGGTGAAGCATCAACACGTACACAAAATGGGTGTAGCGGAGATGAGGATGCTTCGTGGGATGTATGGGCACACGAGAAAGGATAAGATTGGGAATGAGGATATCCGAGGTAAAGGAGGAGTAGCCAAAATTGAAGGAAATATGAGAGAAAATCGGTTCCGGTGGTTTGGACACGTGCAAAGAAGGCCTACTGACGCTCCGGTTCGAAAATGTGACTACGGGACAGAGGTTCAGGGCCGAAGGGGTAGAGGAAGACCTAGGAAAACTTTGGAAGAGACCCTAAGAAAAGACTTGAGTACTTGGATCTAACGGAGGACATGACACAAAACCGAGCGCAATGGCGTTCTAGGATTCATATAGCCGACCCCACTTAGTGGGAAAAGGCTTTGTTGTTGTTGTTGTTGTTTGTGTGTGATACTTAGTCGTCTAACAATTGTCCACTAAAATGTTCGAAATCTTGAAAAGCAGGTAAATGATTACCTATTGTCAGTGATTTGAAGATGGTGGCCAGCCAAATTTGCAGCCTCTGTAAGAGCTTCTCTCCACTGATTTACCTTTGCTTGTTTAGCTTCACGTTTCTTGTCATCTTTTTCTTCACAGATGTTCTCTTCGTAATTCTGAAATGCTTTAGCTAAGTCTCCGTTCTGCTTCCTGACATGTGAAGGATCAACATGATAGAATATTGGCAAAACATGTCGCCCCAATTTGGATCTGCACTCCATGATCTTCACCAGCTCGTCAAGGCACCAACTCGAATCTGCGTACTTCTTTGAGAAGACAATGATAGAGATCTTCGACTCTTCGATTCCTCGGTAGAGTTCCTCTTTTATTTCTTCCCCTATCTTTAGATCGTCCTGATCCATATAAGCCATGTATCCCCTGTCTTCGATTGCGTCGTGGAGGTAGCCCGTGAAGCCCTTGCGCGTGTCTTCGTCGCTAAAGCTCAAGAACACGTCGTAATTCCAAAGTTTTGACTTGAATGAGCATGAAGAGAAGGCTTCATGGGCTGTCATGGCGGTATCCACCGTTATTGCAGTTCGGTGGTTCAGATCACAGACTGAAAAAATGGCAGTAGTTCTGTTTGTGCTCCCGAACAGATCACATTGAAATACCTAAACTCAAGTCAAGATCCTTCCGTCAACAAAAACAAGTCAATAATAATAATAATAATAATGTTTGGGTATGGACTTGACAAACGAAGGTGCAGGGAATGGGAGAGGAAAAGAGGAAAGGAAGGGAACACAAAAAGAAAAAAGACTCTTGAAAAGGAGTTGAAATTTTCTGCACTTATTTTTGCTTGTGGTCCCTATATGCCTTGTTTAATTGAATGACACCTGTCTTTCTACCATCTACAAGTAACATTGTTAAATTGACAATATCTAAAATAATAAAAAATAGCGAAGTGTTATTAATACTTCAAAAATCTCATTCTACACTCCTTACAATTGTATTTTTCTTTCTAAATATAGAAAGCTTGGAGTGTAGATTGAAAATTTTAAATGCCAATAACAATTCCCTAAAAAATAAACCAAATAGTCAAGAAAAACTTAAACAAAACCTAGAGCCACTTTAATCCCCAACCCAGACGACAGCCACCACTCAACCACATCAGTCAGCCACCATACCCGCCGCCGTATTTCTTCTCATCCACATCGCCGCCGAACAGGCGGTTTCCCACTCTCTCAAAATTGCCGCACCATATTTAGGATTCAGATCGATATCGATATCGAATCATCGGTCGAACCCCTCACCATCATACAGGCCCAGGCCAAGCCCAGTGCGGGCAGGACGATCGTCCGGGCCCTATTAGGGCGGTATATTTATATATATTTTTATAAGAGTATAAATTTATAAAATTTTGTTTAGTGACAAAGAAATTTAACTAGAACTAGTGGTTTTATCGTTTAAAATTAATGAGGTTTTAGGTTCAAAACACCATATTTACATTCCATTTTTTACAAATTTCTTTTCATAATAGTATAAATTTATAAAATTTGGCTAAATGATCAAGAAGTTTAATTAGAAGCAATGATTTTTGTTGTTTAAAATTAACGAGAAGTCCTAAGTTCAAAATGCTATGTCCAAGTTTTTTTTTTCATTTTTCACAAATTTTTGTTTGGTTGTTATTTTATTTACTAGCTAGTAGCTATGTGGGTTGCTATTTTTAAATATATGTTCCAATTCAAGTCTAATCTTCAACAAAGGGTAACATGTAGACTAAATTTGCAAATAATATTACGTGTTATTAAAATGTTTAATTTAGTGTTCATTCATTATTTATACATATCTTTAAAAACTCGAAAATATTATTATTTTTTTAGTCTTATATTGACGAGGTTAATAAATAAGAAAAAATATATCACGATTTAGACAAAAACACTTTAAAAGTTCAAATAAAAAAATAAAACTCATAATCTATCTACTTGTAAACCCAAAGTTTTTTTGTTTCCTTCTCTCAATGCAAAATAAATTGATTATCCCGTTTTTCTAAATTATTAAGTTTGAAATATTTTTCTAAATATAATTTTATATAAATAAGAGCGCATTTTTTAACATCATCCCAGACCTCAAAAATCCCTAAACCGGCCCTGCCGCCATATCAAACAAAATTGTTGATGTTTACTCATTTTCCTTCCTTCAGTTCCAAAACCGTACATTTCGTAGTACGAGTCGGCCGCCGAGGTTGATCTCGCAGCAGTCCGAAGCTATGGCCTGCGATTTTGAAATCCAATGCGTACAGATTACAGAGCGAGCTGCTGGGTAGGGCTTTAATTTTGCGGTGTCTTTCAGATTAAAGGGTTCTCTTGTTATGAACTGAAATAGGGTTGAGATTTGGGTTCCAACATCTCTGTTCATAAACTCACCGATAAAAACTTCATTGTGGAAGCTACGGATAATCTCGCCGGAGTGACCAGAGAAAAGGATCGACTTAAAACCAACCTAACGGTCATGAATCGCAGGATAAAAACCCGCAGTGATTTAAAAATTGAAAACACAAACGCAGCAAGCAATTGCAGAACATGGAAGTAGAAATGAGAAATGGGTAAGGACCAGAGAAAATCGGCCATGGCGTCGAAAATAATTTATGAACAGAGGCTGCTAGGGTAATTTTATTAATTTTTCTTTAATATTTGGTTTATTTTTTATTATTTTAAATATTGTCAAGTCAGTGTTAGTTGCAGTTAGTAAAAGGACAAGTGTCATTCAATAAGCAAAGGCACAGAGGGACTACAGCCAAAAATGGATGAAGAAATTTCAACTCGTCAAAAAGATTATTGGCCGTGATTAAGCTTATTCAACTTTAGATTTTCTTAGTGAAATGATTGCATTCTTGTTCAAAACAACTTTTGCAGACTCCATAATAAAGTCGTTTCACATATGTATGTCTGTCGAAGGTTTTAGATTGAACCACCCCTCTAAATGAGAAGTTATTTAATCCATCTCCAACCGATCCGATTAAATGATCATAAGATTAAAAATAATTTGAAATAACACGAAAATCGCCTTCAATCGAAAGCTAGGCTAAAAGGTTTATGGGCCCCACCGGGTTAAAACAGAACTTAGATCAAAACAAAACAAGTTGATTCTTTTTCGCCTACCGGTCATATTTGTGAAAAAAGAGAAAGGACAAGTTTATAATATTACCCCCTCTTAGGAACAGCTTCTATGACGATAGGCGTAAAGATATAATTAGTTCCACAAATCTCAGTGCACTGACCATAGTAAACTCCCTCTCGCTGTGCCGAAATAGAGATCTGATTTAAACCCAAATCAGGTAAGTGGGCTGCCCATTTCCAGCCAACCAGCCCTCCAGTGCCAAAATGTCAAGCTTGACATTTTGCCAATTATCCAGCTCAGCCCATTTGAATGCCAACAACTACCTAGCGTCAGCATGACGCCAATCAGTAATGGCTAGCTGACGTCAGCATATGCCGTCAGGTTACCGTTGTAATTTGATTTTTTTTTTGGACGATTTTTTTTTAAATTCTAATTTTTTTCCTATAAATACCTAAGTCATTCATACACTATTTCTCACGTACTTTTCATTTTAGCGTTACTCACTTTAGCGACACGTGTCACTCGAAATCCTATCCAAAAAATTGTTGAGATTACATAAAGATAAGAAATCTGGATAGTTACTCATGTTAGCAACACGTGTCACTCGAAATCGTATCAAAAAAATTATTGAGATTATATAAAGATAAGAAATCTGAAGACTTATTCATTTGCCACTCCTCAATGTAATTGCTTTGGCGGTTTCGAATCCCCCTTTTGGATTTGCAACGGTTGAACTATGGAGTCTTCCTTGGTCTCGAAACTGTCCTACAAACTCCGCAATCTGCCCAATTTGCTTTTCCGAGTGATCCACCCTTTTATCTTGACTTTGCAATGCTTTGGTTTGATTCTCTTGCCCCTGAGACAAAGTGTTTAGTAATTTAAGAATTGTATCATTATCCAAGGACGTACCTGAATTTGTTGGGGCAGATTGTATTTGAGTTTGATTGGTTGCGAATGGCTTTTGATAGAAACCCGGGGGTTGTTGCCGAAATGTGCTTTGTTGTTGGCCTTGTTGGGGTTCCCGCCATTTGAATTTGGATGATCACGCCAACCGGGATTGTAGGTGTTAGAAAAGGGATCATTCCTTTGTTGGTATTGCTGTCCAAAGCCCACGGCATTGAGGGTCTCCCACCCTCCGTTCTCAATCAATTGTGGGCACTTGTCCGTAGGATGTCCTTGCATGGAACATACGCCACACGCACTTACATTTTGAACTTTTGGCCCTTCCACAACCTGAGAAAGCAACGTAGTAAGGTTAGCCATTTGATTTTGAAGTTCGGTTATGGCACTTACCTCATTCACTTGGTGTTGCCGTGGAGTGCCTCTTTGTCCAACACCTTCGTATTGTTGAGCGTTCAACGCTCGATTAGCAATCAAAGTCTTTGCTGCCGTAGGAGTCTTGTCCACCAAAGCTCCTTCCGCCGAAGCATCTAGCATTTGTCGTTCGATTGGTAGAAGTCCCTCGTAGAAGTATTGTAGAAGAAGCTCCTCCTTCATTTGATGCTGTGGACAAGAAGCGACAAGAGATTTAAAACGTTCATAACATGTAGGAAAAGACTCACCTTCTTCTTGTTGAATTCCACTTATCCTTTTTCGTAGGAGGATGACTCGAGAAGTTGGGAAAAACTTCTCCAAGAAGGCCCGTTTCATGCTCTCCCAAGATGTGACTGTTCCGGGAGCCAATTCATATAACCAATCTTTCGCCTTTTCTAAGAGAGAAAAGGGAAAGGCCTTCATCTTTAATATGCTCCCATCAACGTTGATTGGAGTCATGCTTGAACAAACCACTTCGAACTCTTTCAAGTGCTTGTTAGGATCCTCCATGGACAACCCATGGTACTTCGGAATGTGGTGTAGCAAACTTGACTTCAACTCGAATTCCTCGGTCTTTCCTTGGGCAGCTGCGGGATATTGAATACATAGAGGTGGCATTATCCAATCCTGAAGCCGAAAGCTCCTTTATTGTACGATTGTCTTGTGCCATGACTGTCTCAACTTCACCCACTTGTGCCGTGGGTTCCTCTTCCTCAAACTCAACTTCGGCTTCTGAGTTTGAACTTGATTCACTGGGTTCTGGATTCTTCCTTTTTCGTCTCAACTCTCGCTCAAAATCGTCGTCAAAGTCCAAGATGTGTTCACGAATCGGATGAGTACTCCGAGTCATAAACTAGTGCCTAAAACAAGAAACAAAAACAAAATCAGAATCTGGAATTAATTAAACAAACTAAAATAAAACAATCCAAGGGATTAGCAACTTTGCTAATCCCCGGCAACGGCGCCAAAATTTGATGTGAAAATTATGTTGACACACAAATTAAACCCTATTGATGACAATTGTAGTAATGATGCAAGTAGGGATCGTTCTAAACCGGGGATTAACTAGGGATGCTAATCAACACAAATAAGACTCAAAAACACTAAACTAGACTCTATAGACTCAAAACTAACTTAAAACACTAAAAACAGCAAGAAACAATCAAAAAGACTCAATTCTAGACCTAGCAAGTGATTTGGACGAAAATAGAACTTCAAAGACTCAAAAGACTTAAAAAAAACACGTTTTGACTCTAAAAACAAGATTTAAAAGCAAGGGGGTTGATTTGGACGAATTTAACTTTTAAAACAAAAACTTTGAAAACAAACTTGACAAAA